GGTTCCCTCTTGAGAATCTTTAACGTGTACTCGGGAAACATTATCTACCCGCCGGTACAAGGATTTAGGCTCTTGGACGACGGATGTTGACACTGCTTGTGTCTCTATGACTGGTCCTTTACTTTCACTTTTCCTATACTTCCTTTCCTCACACTTCGCTTTTTCCACATGCATTCTCCAATATTTTCCTTATACTTTCATGTTCTTCACACTTCCTGGTTTTCTTATACTTCCTCCTTTTCTTCAACTTTCAGTACACTACCTACTTTCTTTCCATTATATGTACTTTCTCTTTTCATTAAACTTTCTCTTGTCTGCCTATTCTTTCTCATTTCCTCTCCTCGTACTCTACAACACCGTCATCGTATTTCATTTCCAGATTCGGGTTGTAAAATAAAGCAATTAAAAAAAGCGTAATTAACACTGTGAAACAATATCTGTGTCGGCTGGTAATGAATCCTTTAATTATCTCAAATTTTTGTAAAAGAGGAGAAATTGTGTAAGCATATTTTTAGGGATAACTGAAATGATTTTGGAAGAAAGAATATTTTTTTTTGACGATGATGGAATTTTATGGAAATCGAGTCTTCTCGTAGGTATTCTAATGTGAATGAATTATAATGTAAATAGTTGACGTTTTAGGGGCCAAAAACAAAAATCATACGTGAACAGGAACCAGCATCATACACAAGATCATATTTACACATACACGTAAAAGATATAATGAAGGCAGAATTACAGATAATATGCTAGGTGAAAAGACACATGTGCAACTAATGTGACACCTTATTGGGTCTTTGTCAAGATGATAAATTAGACATGTGCAACATCTGGGTTTCGCCATCCAGTGGCTTTATCAATACAATAATACAGATATCTAGATATTGCACGTGTCTAATTCTTCATGTTGTCGGTATTGTATACTAGTCATGTACGGCTTCGTCAAGCCGGCTTGACAAAGCTCCTGGAGAGCGAAACATCGCCACAATAAAATGTTACAGTTGCACATACGTTCTCTTACTCAACACAAAAGATAGAATAATCCAATTAGGATATATCCAGGGAAACGTATATATCACTGACCAAAAACCAGTTGATATAGACTGTCTTTTGACCCGTTACCGTCCACAGGATGGATATGAGATGCACAATAAACTAGCCACTTCGGTGGCAAAATTTCAAATCTCTGACCCACTATTTCGTAGCTGTGTAACCTATGTGGGGAACCTGATTTCATTGTTTGGATTTAAAACAGGTTGAGAGCTATAGTTTATTAACATGACACGCCCAGTAAGCTATGGGAAGAGCTGTCGTGATTAATACGCAGGTTGACAATAGTAAGGGAAGAATTTCAGAACCTTACAGCTTGTCCTCATCCTAAATTACATAAAGTAATTAGGAATTCTAATCACATCCGGAAGTTTTAATGCAACATACTGTTGTCTCGATATCAATAACATATATACTTATAAAAATACTAAATTTAGAAAGAAAAACTTTCGTTTTTCTTTTTAGGTCTTCCTGCCTCGGTGGGATACGGCCGGTTTTATTTATAAGCCTCGTTTAGGTCATGTTAGATACCTTTGTCCCCTCAAAAGAAGTTCCTTGACGCTGGTTAGGGGCTCTTGATTAAGGGAATTGGATCTGTGCTCCAGGTCCCTGAATTAAACCTGAATACCTTCCATCCCTCCCACAGGCGCTGTATAATCCTACGGGTTCAGCGCTTCCTCATGATTATAATTAATAATAGATCTCTCTCAACACATCGGCCGTATCCCACTGAGGCGGGGTGGCCCAAAAGAAAAAACGAAAGTTTCTCTTTTTACATTTAGTAATATATACAGGAGAAGGGGTTACTAGCCCCTTGCTCCTGGCATTTTAGTCGCCTCTTACAACACGCATGGCTTACGGAGGAAGAATTCTGATCCACTTCCCCATTGTTGAAATTATCGCTACTTCGTGATAAGCATTTTGGGGAGGGTTACGAAAATTGTTTGGAGTCTCGGGGAAGGGGGGGGGGTAAAACTTTGTCTAGGGGCACATACAAATTATAAAATAATAAATCACCCAAGTGCCACATTTGTAACGTCACAAAACTTGTGATTTTGGCTTAAACAGCAACGCTCTTCTTGCCGAATAAAACAAGCGAGAATTTGTGTACGCAATAATTTCGCAAAAATCATTCTGAACCTAACGAAAACAATATATTTCACTGTGTGGTTATTAAATTATTGTAAACTTATTTAAAATATATTTAGTTGGACTAGGCTAAATTAAATTGTGCTTGTTATAATAAGGTTAGATAATTTTTCTAGGTTCTTCTGGTACAAAATTATTAATTTTTACATTAATATAAATGGAAAAAATATATCTTTAAACGTATAAGAGAAAATTTTTGAAAGGACTTAATTTAAAACGAGTTTTCGCTAATTGACCGATTTTACATATTCTGCTGGGTGCTTTATTCTTGTAGGATGGTGTGGTCCAGTGCGTTAGAGCGTCATGTGATTTTTGCTCACCATGAGGCAGGGCCAAAACGACATGGTTTCGAATCCTCGGCTAGTCGCAGTGTTGTTGATATATATATATATATATCAACATATATATATATATATATATATATCGTGCCGAATATGTAAAACTGGTCAATCAGCAAGGACTCATTTAAAATTAAGTCCTTTCCGAAATTTTCTCTTATACGTTTAAAGATATAATTTTTTCATTAATGTTAATTTTTTTTAATTTTGCACCAAAAGAATCTTAGAAAACTTACCTAACCTTATTATAACAAGAACAATTTATTTTAGCCTAACCTAACTATGTATATTTTAGATTTGTTTACAGTAATTTAATATTAAACAAACACAGTGAAATATATTTTTTTAGTTAGGTTCAGAATGATTTTGGCGAAATGACTGCATACACAAATTTTCGCTTGTCCTATATGGCAAGATGAGCGTTGCTATTTAAGCCAAGATCGCAAGTTCTGCCTATTCGGCACGACATATATATATATATATATATATATATATATATATATATATATATATATATATATATATTATATATATATATATATATCGACACTATACAAAGCACACAACTTACTTTCAACACATCATAAAAAATACACATGTACACCGCCACTAGTTCATTAAGGTTAGGACGGAATAAAATATAAATATTACGTTAAGTACCATCGGGCCGCCGTAACCCCTCTCTATTTGTCCGCTCCTTGCTTCTTGTTCAATGCTCTATTATTTCAGAATCTCGCACAACATACCGGGCTCCCCACTCAAACTACTGGGCCAGGTGAGCATAAGGATGACTCCAAAACCATCCTACGGCCTTAGGTACTTAGGTCCGTGCTGGCTTCATTACGCCACACCCACACTGCACTTCCCTTTTAACCGTGACGCCAGGACGCCACTCGTCCAAGAGCGTTCCAAAATGCTGACATTTATAGAATTATTGAACATCTGTCTTACATTGAAACTTCTCGTCACATAAAATGCAGTAACCTGCATAACATGGAGTAAATATAGCCAATGGAACAGCAAATAGTTGAAAATGCACTTATAATGTTATAAGTACGTTGCTTATGTCTGAATAAATGACCCGTATATTATTTTTTACTTATCACTTGTAATGTGTAAGTTACAACTTATAGTAACTGCGAAACTAAAGACTGTGATGACAGGCTGAATTCTCAAAAGGAAGAAGGAGAGATTAAAAATTGGCTTGGATAAAGGAGAGAGTAATGCAAGTGGTGGACGAGAACGAATGACTAACTTATTTGTGGAGAAAAAAAAATGGATAAAATTTAAGGACAGAGGTTGAAACAGCACGTTTAGAGAATGGGAATCCCTTCACTGTTTTGAAAATCGAATGTAGTTCAATTTTCGACAAGGAGAGCGTAGACAAAAACTACAACAATTAAAAATAAAATACTCATTTTCTTGAAGACTTGGATGTTAGTTAACAAAAAAAAATCATACCACAGACGGGGATAGAACTCGCGATTAGAGTCTCAAAACTCCAGACCGTCGCGACGGTCTGGAGTTTTGAGACTCTCTGATCGCGGGTTCTATCCCCATCCGTGGTATATTTGTTTACAATCGTGTCATTACGATTTCGCGAGTCAAAAAAAATCTGTAACAGGGATAGGAAGGCGAGACAGTGTGTTAATCCCTGAGCTGCGCTGAATGATTAATGGGTTATTATACCAGATAACAGGAACAATCTCGTTATATACCTGTGTTGGAACCAGCGGTGGGAAAAACAAAAGTTGAGTTGATAGACAAATACATAAAAACTATAGATTTAATTAGACCACAAAGTTCTTTATCATATACAACATTCTGCAAAGACGACGCCGACAAATTAATGTCTCTGGAAATTGGTATATTTCCTAAACAAAATACTGCAGGGAAATTTCAGCTTCATTCACTGACAACTGGTATAATTTCAATGACAAACAAGTACACTAGATAAGACACATATGCAACAGTTAGGTATCTTTCTCCAGGCTGAGGGACTGACCACCTCAAAACTTTAAGGGTGATGGACTGATTACATCGTCTTCAAGTATCTTCTGCTTCTATCAACTTTTCTGTACTCGACTGAAGAAGCCTACTGTGTAGGCGAAACGTTTCGAAATAAAGATACCTAACTGTTGCATGTGTGTCTTACCTAACAACCTGTCGGTATTTTATACCATTTTAATGTTCAAGTACACTAGAGCTGGAATACATTATTCCGGGGCGTGGATGACAGCGTTAACCGGTTTAAGGAAAATATTGGTGGACTCTTGTCAGGCAATAAACCGAGGGATGAGAGAGTTGTGATCAAGAAACTAGTTACAGTGAAGACGAGTTGCACTGGAGAAGAGTTCAGCTCCACGGAGCTGAACTCTTCTCCAGGCTGAGGGACTGGTGACCTCGTCTTCTGGCTTCGTGTGTCATCTTTGCATCGAGTTGAAAGAAATCAGCAACACATACCGTTGCCTTCAGCACCGTAGAGCGTCCTGCGAGTGTCTTCTCCCACACGATGACCGCGGAAGGGTAAGCCCCGGCAGCCACACACTCCAGCCGCGTCTGACTACCCTCCACTAGCGGCTCCGTCGGTGGCCTGATCACCACCGAGGCCGGGCGAGCTGCAGTAAGGGAAGAGAGGACGTGTGAGCAACACAAGTCATAATGCTGGTAAAATTACCGACAATATGATAAGTAAAAGGACACAAGTGCAACTAATGTGACATTTTATTGTGGCAACGTTTCGCTCTCCATGAGCTTTGTCAAACCATCAAGCATGTCATTAAATAGGTAAGCTTTTTTAATACTGCCATATATTTATTTGCATGCTCAGTTACGTATGACTTTCAACGGAGAGATGAAACTGAAAAAAAAAAGAGTAAGAAAATTGACTTATTGAATACACAAACCTTTCAAAACAAACCATACCACGAGCGGGGATAGAACCCGCGATCAGAGTCGTAAAACTCCAGATCGACGCGCTGGAGTTTTATGACTGATCGCGGGTTCTATCCCCACCCGTGGTATGGTTCGTTTGCAGTCGTGTCGTTACGATTTCGAGAGTCAAAACCTTTCAAAAATCTGGGATCCCTGGGAAGATTAATTTAAATAAAAGGGGAGTTCTGTCATTGACAATACACTAGGATCACTGATGCTAAAAGCTTGGATAGTTTTAAATATAGGTTAGATTAATATACGAGTGAGAGGGGATGGATTTGAGTGGGAATTGCACTTGAGTTAATAGAGTTATCAAAGCTTATTTCTTGGGTAATATTGATAACTGGTTGGGAGAATATATTTTTAGTGGGTTTGGGTTTAACAAGGACCTGGCAAATATGGGCCAGTAGTCCTGTTGCAGTGTTCCTTCTTTGTTCTTATCTAGTACTTGGCGACATTACTACACTGATGTCGCTGTTATTCTGAATGACGTTACAAGTTTGTCGCTCTCCATTTAAAACAAGTTGGTGCGTTTTGATCGCTTTGGGGAACCAATTTAGGTATCCTCATATTCTACAAGCCTAGCCCCCTCTACTTCACTCTACACAAAGAGAGAGTGCGATGCAAGTTTCTAAGGTAGCCAAATAGCACTGACGATTTGAAGCTTACCAGAAAAGGCATACACAAGTTAAAGAAGAGGCATACACAAATTGAAGCCTACTAGAAAAGGCATACAAAAGTTAAAACTTCGAAACCTGTCATGAAATTTATAACTGAACGTTTCTTAATTGAATAGTTACAGAAGGGAACTCTAGATATGAAATACGTTCTCTTCTAGAATATATTGTAGCCAAATCGCTTGTAATATCCCAAATTCAGGTCACGTTTAGCTATTGTGCAGTTAAATTAGCAATTAAAATTTGCATAAAGCCACAGGCAGCTTGGAGATGGCAGTCAGACCAAGGTACAGCACGTTAAAGAGGCATCTGGGTGTCCCGTGGCTCGGTTGGTAGCGCCCTTACCTCACATATTGAGGGTCGGTGGTTCTATCCCCGGCAGGGGTGGAAACGCTAGGTATGTTTCTTACACCTGTTCACCTAGCAGTAAGTAGGCACCTGGGTGTTAGTTGACTGTTGTGGGTGGCATCCTGAGGGTGGTAATTTACCTTAGGTCTGGGCTTTGAACTGAGCCGAGGTAGGATAACTACGTCTGTAAAATTTATCTTTGCCATATAAAAATAAGGCGAATTTAGTCGTCGTGACGAGTCGGTTACCAAGCATTGCGAATCAGTGTTAAACCCACAAAGTTTATTTCAGGAGTGTAGAACTGACGCTGTGTATGGTACTTAATATTTTCCTGTATTCCTTAATGTGTCATCCCTTGTGGGTCCCTGTCTATTACGAACACAGGTAAAAAAAATGGCCTGTGAGACCTGGTCATAATGGGAATGTGGAGCAAACAAAACTCAATATAATGTATATTTGCCTTCACCAGATATATACAAGTATGTACAATATGTACAGCTGGAATAATAAGTGTACACCACGGTGATAGATATCAAAGCAGAAGCCAGAGTGTGCACCGTGCTCAACCAGCAGCTAGGCAAGTCTGCCAATGCTTACCGCAAATGAACCACGTTGCTTCAACTTTGATGGGCTTGCTTGTGATTGGCCAATGAACCAAGGCACTGATTTAACGACCTTCAGTACAGTAAGCGTCTCTCAAGACAAAATCTTGTTTATATCACGAAACAGCTAAGGTCGTATTTAACACCTAGAGAATATACGATGCTGTATGCTATAAAGCAGTACACTTAATAATGGGTTCTAGACTACCTCACAAACAATAACATCAGCTATGTCAGCTGATGCTATTGTTTATGTGAGGCTGAATAATAAGACAAGTGTGCAATATTTGGGAATCTTTATTGATGAGGAAACGTTTCGCCAGCCAGTGGCTTCTTCAGTCCAATATAAAGAAGAACGGTGGAAGAAGAATTGTAATTTGAGGTAATCAGTCCCTCAGCCTGGAGTTGATGTGTTTAGTCATGGACTGATGGACACTACCTCAAACTTCTCCTCCTCCTCTTCCACCATTCTTCTTTGTATTGGACTGACGAAGCCACTGGCTGGCGAAACAGCATTCAGTACGTGAAACAAATAATGGCTGAGAAAAACAAAAGGGTGATAGAAGCATGCAATAAATTAGTAAAATCAATACTGGTAAAAAAAAAAGTCAAAACAGTACTGAAAAATAACATAAAAAAATAACCAAGTTACCATGTGACTGACCCCTGAGTTAAGAGAGGTGATCATAGTGATGCTGACATCCACACTCCTAACTGACCCCCGAGTTAAGAGACGTGATCATAGTGATGCTAACATCCACACTCCTAACTGACCCCTGAGTTAAGAGACGTGATCATAGTGATGCTAACATCCACACTCCTAACTGACCCCTGAGTTAAGAGAGGTGATCATAGTGATGCTAACATCCACACTCCTAACTGACCCCTGAGTTAAGAGAGGTGATCATAGTGATGCTAACATCCACACTCCTAACTGACCCCTGAGTTAAGAGACGTGATCATAGTGATGCTAACATCCACACTCCTAACTGACCCCTGAGTTAAGAGACGTGATCACAGTGATGCTAACATCCACACTCCTACAAGAGAAGAAACGAAAGACAAAACCACTCGCGTTCAACCTAATACGTATAAACATTACTACATAAAATATTAACTTTTCTGTCACAATGCGTCAGCCATTTAAGACTGAGCTGTTCTTGGAGGGGCACAAACACTTAATGGAAAAAAATTCCACACCATTTAAACATAAATGGCACATACTACGATAAAAATCCCAACTTTATTCTAGGTAGCCATTCAGAAGCTTTCACAAACTGACTGGAATAAAACAGCATTAGTGTATACAATAGTGACCAGAGGCCACCTACACATACCAATAATTGTATGAACCTTTCCCTTAGCCTGAGCTTATTATCACCTGCAGCTCATAAGACTGCCATCCCCACGAGCCCCTTTGAGGCGGGGCAGATGGCAGACCAGAGGCGCCTAGCTTCTCCCTACGAGCCCCGTGAGGGCGGGGAATGTGGCTAGGCCTGGGGACAGTTGGTCCCAAAGATGAGGGGGTACTTGTATCTCCTCCCATGGGAGACTTAGGTCTCGAGATACTCCCCAGATAGGGAGCCAAGGTCGGGTCACCACTACTTGGAAAAGACCCGGGCCGGGAGAATACCGGCGAATAAAAAAAAAAAAAACTTTTCCTTGGTACAGTAAGTCATTGGTGAATATTTGAAACCGATCGCATCAGGCAATTTCAACTTACAAACGAAAACCTTCAGACGAAGGAACAACGATGTCAGCAACTTTAAAGGTAATCATCGGCGATGTTTAATAATACTCGTGGGGAAGCGCTAAACCTGTAGGGATTATACAGCACCTGTTGGAGGGGTAGAAGGCATTTGGGCTCAATATAAGGAACTGGAGCACAGATATAATCTTCTAGATCAAGAGCCCCTCACCAGCATCAAGGAATGTTTGATAATATGTCAAATTGGAAGAAATCACTGACTTTTTTGTGTGTTATAAGTTTTTTGGTTTTTCAATCCGGGGATTTGATCTCCGGACCTCAGTAATGAGAGGCGCAGATCTCACCACTGGGCTACGGTAATATAGCCGGGTACACAGATTCGCGTCTTCCGTATCTTACTTCACTGACTCGAGCCCAAAACGTTAATATTTAAATATTTTTTATAATATATAATATAGTGTTAAAACATGGGGAAATGAAGAATCTTTCCTCTAAATACCGCCTTGATCAGTCAGGCTGTTAGTAATCATCAAAAATATTAAGAAATGTATATTAGGCAGAGGGAGAGAGAGAAGGAAGAGCCAATACGGAGCTCCGCGTGTCACAGGCTAGGCACTGTAATAAATAACTCAATAGAGGTTTTAAAGAGGAGAGACTGGAAGTGGTGGTGCTGCTAGTGATTGGTAGTCGTGTGGTGGTGGTAATGGTAATGGTAGTTGTCATAGTGTTGCCTATTTTAGCTGGTGATTGGTGCTGGTAGTTGCCATGGTGTTGCCTATTTTAGCTGGTGATTGGTGCTGGTAGTTGCCATGGTGTTGCCTATTTTAGCTGGTGATTGGTGCTGGTAGTTGCCATGGTGTTGCCTATTTTTGCTGGTGATTGTTGCTTGTGGTGTTTGGTGTAACAAAAATCTGTACATTTAGTGTTCACTGTTTAATTTGTACTGATAGGATTGCAGCTATAACAATGGACCCCCCTTTGTCTATAATAATGGACCCCCTTTCATTGTCTATAATAATGAAAACCTTTGTCTATAACACTGGACCCCTTTCACTGTCTATAACAATGGAACCCTTTGTCTATAACAGTGGACCCCCTTTCATTGTCTAGAACAATGGGGTCCTTTCATTGTTGATAGCTGAGCTAAAGTCTTGCCCTTCTTTATCATTCTTATGTATAATAAATTTGATACTGGAGTGATTTGTACCACCCCATATATACTATACACATAATAAGCAGTAGTCGTGGCTACGATTTGGGAAACTGCAGAGTGCGATGCTCTACCTTCTTCCCCTCCACACTTACCCTGAGTTCAGTTGCTCAGAGGTCAGTAGTTAGCAATTTGCTGC